ATATATACGAGTATTTTCTTCAATTTTACGTTTCTTTCTGTACAGATTTGGCTATAACTGGTAAAATAACAATAGCTTCATGCCGACCACTTACCATCATTGTCGGGTGATCGACAGGGATATGTGACGCTTTGAACATGCCACGTTGGTAATAAATGTGTATGAGCTTTCCCGGTGAGAAGAGACTGTCAGTGAGAAGACAGGCATGAAATATAGTGAGTCTCAAGCGAAAAGGCATATCGACACATGATCATGCATGTAGACACAATGTACGCCAAGCTGCTATTAGATGATGTGCCTGAGCACAAACATGTGTGAAAGAAGGACCAACTTTTAATTGGTCTGGGAGTGGTGTAGAGGGGCAACACCCTCGAAAGAATTGGTCATGATGCTACACATATCTATCAGTATACTTGAACCACACATGTTTCAAATCCGTTACATCGGTACGTAGCAGCCGGAACAGACTATATATATATATATATATATTTAACATGTACAAACATATAGACATGTTTGTGTATAGAAATTTATAAGAGATCGATGAACCATACACGGGCGGGCTGACCTGGGAATAGGTTTGCCAGGTGCAGGTTCGGTGGGAGGAGGCAGTGTAGTGGCTTTGATATTGTCCGTCAGTGACTCGGTCTCATGCACCTCCGAGTCTGAAAGCGCCGCGCTTTCCTCTATCCCGGTATTCGCAGGAGTAAATTCCGGTACACCGTAGGGCGTGGCATGAGGCGGTGCGTGTGGAGAAGGTACCGCACTTCCTTCCGTCCCGTTATTCTCTGGAATTGATTCCGGTACGGCATGTGGTACGGGGTGCGTGGGTATATGAGCAGGGTGCTCTAACGGCCTCTCGGGCGGTTCAGCGTTCGCGGCCATTTCATTCAGTGTTGCCTTGCTAGCTATGTACGAATTCTGTGAAGGCGCGTGAGGAGTAGGTAGCTGTATGAGTCTATCTTGAGATTCTGGAGGTGTCGTTGATAGCTGTTTTTACCCATGTGGCCTGGGGACATGGATGTGTGATTGACACATATTGTATTTGGCCCATTCTTCGCGACTAAGACACAACAGGAAGTTCAAGCAGATTTGCGCTCTAATAAGAAGTAAAATCTTGGATGCAAACTGTATTTAGAAGTACAAATGCATGGCAATCATAACGAAGGTACGCTTTGTTTTGTGCGAAAAAAAAAGCAAATAGTCTTTTTCTGCTGTGTATGAACGAATATTAATCTATAACAGCTTACAAATAACTCAATAACACTTCCGACAAGGCAAATGTTATGAGGATAACACGCTTTCAAGAAGAAAAACACACTGTGGATATGTTTTTTCGTGGCAATGTGTGTGTGTGATTGCATTGACATATGACATTCTATATTATTCTAAACCAAAACATCACTCAATATCACACTTCCAAGGATTCAAATTAATCAGGTTCGCAAAACCCACTATTAAACTGCACGTACCTATTGGTGGATGTATTTAATCAGCACCCAGATAGACAAAAATATTAGTATATAATCAAATGAATCTGTCTGTGTTTATCTACTGCTCGGAATAGTACCAGTATTGATATCTGCAACCACGCACGTATCATTCATACCCTGATAGCGGCACCAGCCCTCGTTTTCGGAGCCCAGACTTCTTTAACACGGCGCTGGTGTGCGGCTATGTCTTGTTCCCACATTGGCTTCCAATCCTCTCTTTAGGTGTGTAGGTAGGAAGTGATAAGTATATCAGGACTAAAAACTAATGGGATGTTACACTCTAATTACCAATGTAGAACGAAAAAGCTACAATACGCATTCGGGTAGAGTTCAAGCGTAAACGCCAGGAAAAATTAAGACATTTCGAATTGTAAAACCCCTCTAAAAATAATTGAACTGCTATAACAAAACATATCTGCAACCAACTAAGTAATAGTATGAATCTGTATATTAAATTATATCACGACATACCCAACGAATCCGCAGTTCATATTAGATTATATCCTAATAACTAATAAAGTATATCCCGATACTTCTAATGAATCTGAATTTATATTAATCTATATCCTGGCATACCCACGGCATCTACGATTTATATTAAATTATAACCTGGCATGCCTAGTGTATCTGTAGTTCATATTAAAATATATGCTAACATACCCAATGAATCTTTATTTTGTATCTAAACATATCCTGATATACCTAATGAATCTACAATTTGTATTGAATTATATTCTGCTATACCTAATATATCTATAATTCATACTAAACTATATACAAGCATGCCCAATGAATCTTTACTTTGTCTTAAATCATATCCTGGCATACCTGATAAATCTATAGTTCATATAATACACATACAAATGAACCTGTAATCTGTATTAAAATATATACCAACATACCCAATGAGTCTGTGATTTGTATTAAACTATATCCTGACATGCCCAATTAATCTGTATTTCATATCAAATATATACTAACTTCTTCAATGAATCTGTGCTTATTATTAAATTCTGTCTTAACATACCCAATGAATTTTTAGTTTATATTAAATTGTATCTTGAGATACCTGTTGAATCTATAATTGTATATTAAATTATATACCAACACACACAATGAATCTGAAATCTATACAAAATCATTCCCAGACATACCTGAACTTCAACAATTCCTCGATCAGCACAAAGGCCGTACGATTACTGGCTCGTGGGACGATATCATCGTGCAACACTACACTTGTCACCAATTCATCAAATGCGGGCACCAAATCCTTTGTGGCAACTACAAGAACGAGGCATATAGGATTTCGGTATGAATAGGCCGCAGTAAAGTTTGCCAACTGTTGATAGCGGGGTTTAAACCTAGTCTTTCAAATAATATTCTACTTCCAATGACTATAGCAATTTAGTTTGTTTGCATTACAACTAACATTTGGGTTAGATATATAAATATATAAATAT